GAGCCGAGCTGCCGTCGATGGTGGCGCTCCGCTCAGCGCGAGGTCCACGACCCGCGAGACCCACTTCGCGCCAGCCTTCATTCAGATGTCACGCTCCGTCGCGCCAGGGCCGGCCACGAAGCCGAGGTACTCGCCCTTGTCCTGGGTCAGCATAGATGCCCAAGACGGGATGTGGCGGTGCAGCCAGTCGCTGAAGTCAGCGATCGCCGAGTCGTCCAGCTCGCCGTCGAGCGGGATCAGCACGCACTTGTGATGCTTCAGGTGGAGGCCCGCCAGCGCCCGCGCCGCCTGGAACGCCCGCCAGAGCCCCGCCAGCAGTTGTCGCCGTCCGAGAAGAGCTCCCACATCATCAGCACACACTCCCAGCGCCGAGGGTCCGCGCTCGGTGAACCTCATCATGTGGTGGATGAACGGGTTCATCACGATGGCCCACAGCGAGCCCGATGCAGGGCAGCCCTGAGCTAGCCCGCAGGAGACGCACGTGACATGCACCAGTGCGCCCGCCAGCTCCACAGAGGCCGTGGGGAGCCAGTGGAGCGCGAGCACCGTGTAGAGCAGCCCGCCCTCGAAACCAGAGAAGATGAGCATGGCGACGGCCCACTCCACCCTCAGCGATGGGAAGGCGTCGCCGAAGTCGAAGAGCGCCATCAAGGGCCTCTCGCTCGGGTGGAAGCCCGCAGCGCGGGCCTTCGTGTCCAAGAGGGTGATGTTGTCGATGAGTTTGCGGCCCCGCAGGAACCCCCGCTGGGGGGCGGGGGGGGCCTTCTCCACGGGGCCCTTCAGACGTGCATTCGTAGCTGCTGCCACCAGCTTGCAGTCTGCGTTCTTGAGCGCGATCGCTCGCGTTGTGCTGGCCGTGCGGTATGCATCATCCACCGGGTCGTCCTCCAGCGAGCCCTTGGGGAGGAAGGCCATCAGGTGATCGTTCCAGTCGACAGGCGGGGCCAACCCCATGGCGACCTCGATGGCAACGTCCTCGATCGCACCCAGGGCCTCGGGGCAGCTCCTCCAGGCGGCATACGGGAGGCCATCGGACCCCGGGGGCAGAGTCCCCGGCCCGCGCCGCCGCGCGCACCAGAGCCGACTTGTCGGGAGGGAGGATACCGACGAGGTCCAGCTTAGGTGCATGCTCGGCAATATACCTGTCGGCGAGGTGCTTCCAATTGGCGACCCGTGGCTTGGCCTGGAGGATCGGCGCCCAGTGCTCGCGCAGCGCCTCCACCATGCCCTCGTGCTCGGTGACGACACGGTAGCCCTCGTCATCGGGCACCCTGGCCCCCTGCAGCTTGAGCGCGCGACCGAATGGAGACCGCAGTGCCTGGCGCCTCCGCAACTTGCGGCGCGCAGCGTTGACAATCTTGAACGAGGTGGTGTCGAAGGCCTTGGCCTCGCGTCGCTCCAGTTCGGCAGCGCGAGCCTCGAAGTGCATCTGCTGCTCCTGAGCAAAGTCGCGGGCGAAGGACGGGGGGTGCACAAGCGAAACCTGCGCGCCCGAGACAGACATGTACTGAGAAGCCAGGTCGCAGGACACCGGCAGCCTGCGCGCCAGTGCCGCATCATCCCGCCAGACCGCTCGAGAGAGCGAGCGGAACATCATCAACTTGGTCTCCCCCTCAGGCCGGCGCAGCCGAAGATTGCGGACGTATCTCGCGGCCTCCTTCATCAGCTGCTTGCGCCGACGACGCCGTGCGTGCACGCCGAGGGCTCGCCAGTCGACAAGAGCGCAGAGGCGCTGATACTGGGCATTGAACTCGGGATCCCTGAAGAAGTGGACGGGGATCTTTTGCTCCTCAGCTGTGGCGTGAGAGCGCGCGGCGACCGAGATGGCGACAGGGGCGTGGTCGCTGATCCCCCTCTCGTCCAAGTCCTCAGGCTTGTCCGCCGTCGCGGCGGAGAAGTGCTGCTGCAGCGCCGCCCAGCTCGGCATCGAGACAAAGACCCTGCCGATCTACGTGAGCTTGGGCTGCCACTCGTTCGTCGCGTAGTGCGTGGGCAGCTCGTTGTCGACCTCCATCGTCCTCGAGAAGACGCCCTGCCAGAACTGATCGTGAGCGCGCGCGGCAACATCGCCCTGACTGCGACGCTTGTCCACCTTAGGGGCCCTCGGGTACATGGGGGCCTGCTTGTAAAGATTGAAGTCGACAAGAAGAAAAACTCGGGTGCCATATCCGCCATCGTGAGATCCGAGAAGAGCTTGTGACGAAACGAATGCCGCTCCTCGTCAGACAGATCAAACTTGTGCACATTGCAAACAATCTGCTGCATGTGGGTGAATTCGGGACCGCCGATATGCCTGATATCCTCAGCCTCTGGATGCGGCCAGGAACAATGACGTCATGAACGAACCTCGCACGCTGCTCCACACGGTCGTCGCAGGGCACGATGATGCACGCGCCCCCCGCGTCGACGCGCGGGGTCGACTCGAAGACTCGGCGGCGAACGTGCAATCGATGAAGAGCTTGGTGTAGCTCGGCGCGGGTGGCATGGACCTCCTGCGCCGTTGTCGCCGCCCCGCGCCTCAGGTGCGACGCCAGGTGCCCGAGCTTGTGTTTGCGTGCCCCTCCAGCACTGCGATCGTGGTGGAGGGGGGCGCGCGCGTTCCACGCGCCGAGCGCCACGGGCACACTCGCGTCGAGGCCGTGAGCCCTCCAGCAAGCCAAGCGTTCGCTAAATAGACCACTGAACGCGGTCCGCCGCGCCGAAGCGCTCCTCGAATACCTCCTTGATCTTCGTCTTGTCGAGGCCGATGTCCGTGGCCGTGCGGAAGTTCCACTCCAACGTCGAGGGATCGGGCGAGCTGTTGGGCACGGGGGCCCTGATGACGGGAGAGGAGCCCAGGTAGATGACGCCCTGAGCGCGATGCGCCCTCCACCTGCCATGACACCCCGAAGCCTTGACCATCTCGATGGGCCTCTTCGTCTCGATCTCGCGCCGCACCATCTGGGGGCTCTTGTCGGTGCCCGCGAAGACGGCAGCGCGGTCCCCCACAGGCGTCGCGGCCTCGAATCGCCGCCATTCACCTGGCTGGAGCTTGAACTGCTTGAAAGCGTGCTGCACATGCCGTGCAGCGATGCCCTCCGAGCCCTTGAGCTGGAGCACGAAACGGCGCCCTGAGCTCTCGCCCGTGAGCTCCCACTTCTCCTCCGTGAAGTCGCCCGCCTCGAGCCGCGGCATGATGCTCTCCTTCGCGGCCGCCAGCGCGACGGGCTCCTTCGTCGTGGCGATGGAGATCGCGGGGTTCGGGTCGCGCGTGAAGCTGGCCATGTCTGACGCGTCGACGGCGGCAGGGGCGGCCTGCTCGCATTGATGCACAATGGCCTGCATCTCGGCAATCTGCTACCGCATCGCACGATGCGACCCCTCCAGCGCGTCCTGGCGCGCGTCGAGGTCCTTGACCCGCAGCCCCATCTCCTCGTTGAATCCTGGCGCTGGGCGAACGAGCGGACGGCCTTGTCCCTGGTCTTCCCCTCGTCCCGCGGCGAGGCGATGGAGATGGGCGGCGGCTCGTCGCGCTCCTTCGACCACCGACCAGCTCGTCCGCGTGCAGCCCAGGGGTCGCCACCATCAGCATGCATCGGGTCCTCGGAGTCCATATCCGCAGAAGCAGACATACCAGCGCGAGCGCCCGAGCCAGCAAGCCCTTGGCTCCTGCTGCGGTGATCGTCGTCGCCCTGCGGTGAGGGCGAGCCCGCGCTCCGCCTGCCGCCCGTGCCAGAACTTCCCGCCTTGCCAGGTCGTCGCGAGCGAGAGCCGGCAGCGCCATCAGGCATTCCCCCCGCAGGGGTATGCCTAGAGGGGAACGTGTCTGGAGGGCTCGCGCCGAGGGCTGGAGCCCAGCAGGGCAGCACGGATCTCAATAGTTGTCAGTAGCTTTGGCCTCGAAGCGCGATACCCCTCGCGCTCAGAAGTCGCCGACCGAGGCCGACTCGCGGTCGTCGGGCGGTTCGTAGCCTTGAGCCAAAATGGCTACGGATGTGTGTGTGTGTGTGTGTGTGCGTGTGTTCACGTGCGGTCCCCCAGCCGATTTGGCGCACCCCTCACACGCGCCGTGGCCCCACAGGGAGCTCCACCGAAACCCCCAGGGGGCTAGGTCACATAACTTCCCCAAGCAAATTTCGGTACACCCCTCACACAATTCGTGGCCCCATAGAAAACTCAACCGAAATCCCCAGGGTGCTAGGCCACATAGCGTCTCCCAGCCCATCTCCCTCCCGTCCCCCGCCCATTTTGTGACACACCTCACATGCTTCGTGACCCTATGGGGAGCTCCACCGAAGCCCCCCGAGGGCTAGGCTAGGCCACATGACGCCCCCCCAACAAATTTCGGTGCACCCGTCACAAGCTTCGTGGCCTTATGTGGAGATCGACATGCAAAGCTACATGTGCCCCCCCGCTAATACCGATACCCCTCACACATTTCGTGACCCCAGAAGGAGCTTCACTCAAGATCCCAATGGGCTATTTCGGCATACCGCTTTTACGTTCCGTGGCCCTCTTTGGAGCTCCACCGAAGGCCCAAGGGGGTGCGTCCACATGTGGTTTCCCCGCCCATGTCGGCACACCCCTCACACGCGCCGTGGCCCCATATGGGAACCCCACCGAAGGCCCCAGTGGCAAGGTATCGCATGCGGCCTCCCCGCAAATTTTGGCACGCCCCTCACGCGTTTCGCGCCCCCACAGGAAGCTCATCCCATTTCGCCGCGCATTGCCCATGAGGATAGGCCATGCCCTGCGCTACTCGCAACTGAATTGGGTTTCGTCTGTTGTCGGGCTGATTGTTTTTGTCTGTTCTGGCATGCGTATCCGTGCTAGAAACTTGTAGCTGGCCTGTATACATACTCGGATTATGTGCGTTCGCAGCAAACGCCTTTCGCTGTTCGCAACTCTGACAAGACCTGATCATATTGATCACTTTAGGCATTCGATGTTCCGTTGGCCAACTGTTGCGATGAAGAATTGCCTTGGGGCGTTGGGCCCGGTCTGCGGGCGACTCTAATCTCCTCGACCAGGCCCGCCGACGAGTCGGCCGTGTTGTCGAAGCACGCGTCCCAGCCCTCGAACGAGTCCAGGTCGGTCTCGGAGTAGAGCCCGTCCTGCAGTCGCCATGCAATCAAAATCTTTAGGACGGCTTTCGAAAGGCAAGCTGGGAGAAGCAACTCACGTATTTTTCTAGCTTAGCGCCATTGCCCCCAGAAGCGCTTGGGAATCGCATGCTCGAAGCAAGCCCAGAACGGCGAAATGGTCAGCCTGCCATGTACAAACACACGCACGCGTAAGCATGGTCTGGAGCGAGGGGATACATGCACTGAGCTGCGAGACTCCTTTCTTGTCCTGGTTCGGCCGAGGCCGTCGGAGGAGCCTAGGAAAGAATAGAGTGAAACCGCAAGGGAACCCTGATCGGCTACGCGCAAGTGGCCTTAGACAGAGTAATTTTTGGTGCGCGGCTTTAGTTATGGAGGCGTGGGGTCGTCAAACCAAAGCACGCAAGTACGAGCCCTGCCACATTTTTTGTCGAGGTCCCTGTGAGCCTACATCAAAAGTCACTCTGGCGAAAGGTCACTCTTTCTTACGTGTGGTCGACCCAGTCCCCTACCGGCCTGCAGCCAGAGGCCATGACCCCAGACATCCCGCGGCTCGATTCGTTGTGTCGGGGCATGTGCCCCCATACTTCTCGACCTCCCCAGACCTCCTCGCGTCGCGAAAAAATGGCGCCGGTACACTGTTGCAAATGTTTGGCCTCCCTGGGCCCGGCGCGACTCAGAATGGCAAGCCCGTCTCCTGGTGGTTCATGCGGTGGAAAACCAACGACGTCAGAGGTCTGGGGCTGACGGCTCAAAAAAAGGTTTGTGCTCGTGGCATGAACCAGCCCCTGCCCGTTGGAATAAAGGAACAAAGGTTCAGGTCTTTCCCAGGGCCAGCTTCCTTGAGGGGCAACGTTAGGGGGGGGGGGGGGGGGCAGCTCAGGGGGGGGAACAACGAGCTGGAATCGGCGATGCCTCGCCGATAGATCGGCGATGGGCCCCCGATGGCAAAATCCGGAAGTTCCTGGGCGGGGTTGGCCCATCAGGCCCCCTATCGGCGATCAGTGAGCGATTTGGGGTCGATGCGTCCCCTCTGGGCCTTCGTGTAGGAGATTAACTACAGAATTGGTTTACCCCAAAATAAGAACACACGTCCAAATCATGGAACACGCGCAGAATTTCCGCATATATCTACGAACATTCTACACATCTGTTGCAGATCGTACGGGAAGCACATTTTGGGGGTGACACAACCAATTCTGTAATCGATCTCCTAGTCGAAGCCTGCGTATCCCTCCAGTCGAAGCCTACGTATCCTCCCCCCTGGTGTTCCCCCTGCTTCCCGTCCTGGACAGCATGCTTGTCGGCCCTGGGGCCCGAGGGTGGCCGCTGTGGGGCCAGCGCCGAGGAAACAGCCTGCGCCTCGATCTGGTCAAGACGCCGCCGGCACGCTAGCGGGGGGGAGAGCGGTGACTGGCAGCGTAGGCCTCGCTCGATCCCCAGGGGGCTCGAGAGGCAGGGATCATGGGACCGGAGCTCGAGAAGGGGAGAGAGAGAGAGCGAGAGAGAACGAAAGGAGAGCGAGAGAGAGACAGAGCGAACGAACGAACGAACGAACCACCACATCGGACAGCTGTCCGGGCCTGCTCAGACCAGGTGGGTGAGGCCATGGCCTCCTGTAAACATAGAGACATGAACAGGAACTGCGAGACACACAATACATGATTCGGTGCAACACACAAAAAGTTATGACGGAGGAGGAGAGGAGGAGGAAGTCCTGGTTGTGAATGTCGGCGACGTGCTGATGTATTTGTGTTCGAGTGTCGACCACGTGGTGGTGTCTTGAGCTGAGCGAACCCAAGTGAGGTCGTTCGGCTTGCCCTGCTCGTTGGTTGAAACTGAAACTGTATGTGCAGCGACAGACAACTGAAACTGTATGTGCATGTGTGAGATGTGGAATCCCACCAAGAGGGAGGAGGTATGGGCGAGGAGGCTGGCGAAATCAAGAAGGAGGTTGAGGATGGAGAGGGTGGGAGCACCCGCACAGCAAGGAGGAAGCCGATGAGGGTGCGGAGGATACAGAAGGGTCTGTAAAGTTGGCGGGGGTGGTGGCGGAGGAGTGGGCTCATGACTCCATGACGCTGAACGCTTTTCTTCTCATGTCGCGCGCTTATTGTTCGCAGAGGCCGCGACCTGTGCAGCGTTGTTCCTCGCACTCGCTTGCTCACTATGTGTGTGTGTGTGTGTGTGTGTGTGTGAGTACACATATTTATATGATATGCATGTATATTTGCATGCATGTATGTTTATATACGTATGTGTTTATGCATGCGTGTACGTAGGCATGCATGCATATATGTACGATTATGCACATACAGAACTATAGTTACCTTTGAGTCATCGTGGGCCCCAAGCTGTGCGGTTCTAGCGATGTATGTTGTGCAATAGATGTTGCGCAATCAATGTGGCGCAATCCAGGTGGTGCAACATATGTTGATTCACAAATTTGTTGTGTGCCATATATAGTCCGCAGAAACAGCAATGTGCAATCTATCATGTGAAACATGTGTTGTGCAATCTGTCGTGTGCAATCAATAACGCATGAAGGCGCCAAACCGAGCCGAACATCGATAACCGTGACCGGATCGGACCGAACCGAACTCTCCCAGAACCGAACCGGATCATAACCAGAACCGAACCAGAACGGGACGCCCCCCAACCGAATCGACAGGAACCGAACCGGACGCCCAGCCCCTCCTCCCTCCTCCTGTTATTTCTCCTCGTCCCCCTCTCCCGACCCCCAAGACCCGAGGCAGCGGGATTCACTATCCGACTCCCCCCCCGTCCCCCGATTGGCCGACTCCCCGGCCGATTCCCCGACTGGCCGGCTGGCCGACTCGCCGACTGGCTGACTGGCCGAGTGTCCGACTGGCCGATTTCCCGACTGGCCGACTGGAGGACTGGCCGACTGGCCGACGGGCCGACTGGCCGAATGGCGGACTGGCCGACTTCCCGACAAGCCGATTCTCCGACTTGCCGACTGGCCGACCGGCCGACTGGCCGACTGGCCGATTGGCCGACTGGCCGACCGGCCGATTACTGGCCGAATGGCCGATTGGCCGACTGGCGGACTGGCCGAATGGCCGCCTGGCCAACTGGCCGACTGGCCGACCGGTCGACTGGCCGAATGGCCGACTGGCCGACCAGTCGACTGCCCAGCTGGCCAACTGGCCGACTGGCCAGTCGGCCGACTGGCCAACTGGCCGACTGGCCGACGACGGGCCGGCTGGCCGACGGGCCGACCGGCCGACTGGCCAACTCGCCGTGTGGCCGACGGGCCGACTGGCCGACGGGCCGACTGGCCGACGGGCCGACTGGCCGACTGGCCGACGGGCCGACTGGCGGACTGGCCGAATGGCCGCCTGGCAACTGGCCGTTTGGCCGACGGGCCGACTGGCCGACGAAACGACTGGCCGACTGGCCGACTGGCCGACAGGCCGACAGGCCGACTGGCCGACTGGCAGGCTGGCCGACTGGCCGACTGGCCGACTGGCCGACCGTCCGACTGGCGGACTGGCGGACTAGCCGACTGGCCCGGTCGACTGGCAGGCTGGCCGACGGGCCGACTGGCCGACTGGTCGGCTGGCGGACTGACTGACTGGCGGGCTGGCGGACTGGCGGACTGGCCGATTGGCTGGCCGACAGGCCGACCGGCCGACTGGCGAATTCCAGACTGGCCGACTGGCCGACTGGCCGACTGGCCGAATGGCCAACTGGCCGACTGGCCGACTGGCCAACTGGCCGTTTGGACAGGCCGACTAGCCGACTGGCCAACGGGCGGACTGGTCGACTACTGGCCAACTGGCCGACTGGCCGACCGGCCGAGTGGTCGACTGGCCGACCGGCCGACTGGCCGATTGGCCGACTGGGCGACCGGGCGACTGGCGGACTGGCCATCTCCCCGACTGGCCGACCGCTGGCCGACGGGGCCGACTACTGGCCAACTGGCCGACTGGCCGAACGGCCGACTGGACGGACTGGCCGATTGGTCGACTGGCCGACCAGCCGACTGATCGACTGGCCAACAAGCTGGCTGGCGGACTGGCGGACTGGCGGATTGGCGGACAAGCCGGCTGGCCGACTTCCCGCGACTGGCCGACTCCCCGACTGGCCGATTGGCCGACGGGAAGACTGGCCGACTGGCCAACTGGCCGACTGGCCGACTGGCCAGCTGGCCGACTGGCCGAATGGCCGACTGGCCGTCGGGCCGACTGGCGGACTGGCCGATTGGCCGACGGCCGACTGGCTGACCTGCCGACTGGCCGACTGGCCGACGGGCCGACCAGCCGACTGGCCGACTGGCCGACTGGCGGACTGGCGGACTGGCCGACTCCCCGGCTACCGGTCGACGGGCCGACTACTGGCCAACTGGCCGACTGGCCGACCGGCCGACTGGCCGATTCCCAGACTGGCCGACTGGCCGACTCCCCCGCTGGCCGACTGGCCGACCGACTGACTGGCCGACTGGCCGACAGGCCGACTGGCTGGCTGGCGGACTGGCAGACTGGCGGACTGGCGGACTCGCGGGCTGGCGGGATGGCGGACAGGCCGACTGGCCGACTTCCCGACTGGCCGACTGGCCGACTGGCCGACGGGCCGACGGGCCGACTGGCTGACTGGCAGACCGGTCGACCGGCCAACTGGCCAATGCCGACAGGCCGACAGGGCGACTGGCTGGCTGGCCGACCGGCGGACTGGCGGACAGTGGGCCGACTTCCCGACTGGCCGACTCCCCGACTGGCCGACTCCCCGACTGGCCGACTCCCGGACTGGCCGACTGGCCGACTCGCCGACGGGCCGACCGGCCGACTGGCCGATTGACCGACTGGCCGACTCCCCGACCGGCCGACTGGCGGACTGGCCGACTGGCGGACTGGCCGACTGTCCAACAGGCGGACTGGCCCACAGACCGACTGGCTGGCTGGCGGACTGGCCGACTCCCGGACTGGTGGGCTGGCGGACAGGCCGACTGGCCGTTTAGCCAGACTGGCCGACTGGCCGACGGGCCGACT